GGCTCCTATTTAGCTGGTTGTCCACTAAGACTCCAAGATCCCCCTCGCAGTTCCTGCTATTGAGCCTGGTTTCACCCAGTCTATATGTGCATATATAGACTGGATGTGTGTATAAGCTTAGATAAGCACCAAGGACCCCATATTTTCATTCTTTTCGCAACAGCGGCATGGAGCTAAGCTCCCGGAGTCCGTAAGAGCCCACTGCTTTTATCAATGCGACAAAAGAACATTGTGCCACCGCACCATAAGCTCTGACGCTTCCATACGTTACGACACACGTGTACAAAAGGGACGATGCTGCGACTCTTCTTTTGTTATTGTGCCCCTGCTTATTTCTCGTGGATGCTGCGGCCCCAACCGCTAAGAGTTAACCAAAAAAAACTCACCCCACCCTCCCGTTGTCTCTTCTCCTGAATTATTAAAGGCAATTCTGAGTGAAGAATCAGCACAATTTCCACCTGATGGATCTATCGATCAATAGATCTTGTAATTGAAACTAATGCAAACTTGTAGCCCAGCGTTCCTAATTTAAAGTCACGGGAGCACAACCCTCCAACTCCTAGCGAAAAGGACCAAATTGGGATGGAACGCCTGGATGACCTTGGGTTACCGAGGGGAAGAGATGCTGCCTAGGAAACTATCAGATCAGAGAACCAGGAGCCTCCATTGGCTTAATGGTCAGGGGGAAGAAACGTAGGAAGGATGGTCCCAGTGGATCAAGCAGTTAAAAGTGGTGGCAGGAAGTTTGTGCAGGTAGACCTCGAGTTACGACCACAATTGAGCCCCAAATTTCTGTTGCTAAGCGCTGACAGTTAATTTTGCCCTATTTTACAACCCGTAGCTTCTTATTTAAGCGGGCCAAGGCCAAACGCCCTGGTGAGCCAGATGTTTGAAACATCACCTGAAGATGCCTCACATGACATTATACAGATCTCGGATTGGATGGCCCGTTTGAACTATTGTTGGCGGGAACGTTGCCATCACTTTGTATGTGTGATGTTTTGCGCCGAGTGCTTCAGATCTTGAGTTCTTTTGATGCTACCTACCACTTTGATTTCCAGTAAAAGTCCTTTTCTCTATAATAATGGAGTCTAAGGTTTTCTTTCTTGGATTTTGTTCTGACCCAAACCTGGCTCCACGAGAGTAAACACAAGACAAAGGTACCGGCACAACCTTTTACGGTTTCATTTACAAATCCTGTTTCTACACAGATAAAAAGATTCCGACAAGAAAGAGCCTTGCCAAATTTTTGCAAGTCTGCCAAGAACAACAGATAAAGTTCCTAAACAATAAATCAAAGAGTCTCCAAATACCAACTCGGACATTCCTAACATCCACCAAGCTCGAGTATCAAACTTCTCTGCAAAGAACTCCGGTTTCTCAGCTGGCTTTTATCTCTTAAGGGAGGGGCCATTAAATTGCAGCCTTACTCTCGAGTCACCTCTGCTGGTGCAGCTGCTCTTTCCTTTGAGCAGCCCTGCAAGCATGCACACTTGGCACAGGCTCCTTGGGATGCTCTTCCTCACTGCTGCCAGCCTCCACAATCTCCAAAGGCAGCATTTCCCTCCCTGATGGTCCTGGCCCCATCCCTGCATCACATGCAGGCCCCTCATCTGAGTCCTCGCTCTCCGAGACCTCAGCCATCCGCACCTGCTGCCGGCGAACCACAACAGATTTTGGATGGAACCTCACCTGACAGCAGGGGTGAGTAGGAGGGCTGATCCTGCGCTTTTCTCTTCTTTCTCCTCTCTCTGATCCACGGAGGGTTTTTTTACGACTGGTTCATTTGAACCGGTGCGAACCGGTAGCATGGCACCACTGGTTTGACATCCGTGGCATGGAGAAAAATCTCTCAAGGACTTCGGTCCTGAATTCACCTTCTGATAAGCCACAGACTGTCATCCAACAGCGTGCAATGATGGTTGGATCTCTGCTAGTGGGCACTGTATACAGTAAACCATCATCCTGACCCGGCAAAGTTATTCTTGTCTCCTTTTCACAACAGTGGCTACAATTTTTAGGGGTTTTCTTTTTCTCCACTCCTGTTCAAAGGCCGATATCATCTTATTGTGGTAGCAGTCTATCATGCTTCCTCCTCCCCAGCTGGTAAACAGCACACCCTCCCTCTCTCCCACCCCATTCGAGGAAATAATAACCACAGATTCTTCAACTCAAGGGCTGCAACCCAACACATATTTCAAAGCAGCTGGTTGTGTTTTCAAAAGCCCCCGAAAAAGGGAAATTATCCGCCCAAAGCAAAGTGCTCCGATCCCCAATCGCGCGATCCGATCATCCTCCTTTTGTTTTTGAGTCAGCTCTGTGCCGACCGTACAAATATCTTCGTTTTATTGCTGAGATGAAGTTTGGAAGATGAGACGAATAGGACTTTGCACAGTCCGGGCTCTTTGAGAATACCGGGCAAATTTGGGTTTCAATTAGAGGAGGAAATCAAATCATCAGATCTAGAATAAAGAACTCCATTTTCAAAGCCAGGCTGAATCATTGCTTAACGTCGTAGCTCTGATGAAATTCGCATCACTTCCAATGCTCGTAAATCTTTTGATTAGGGTTGTGATTCTGGAATCTGGATATCGTTAGGACTGTGTGGTTTTCCCAACTCGGATTCTAAAAATAAGCCTCAGCGTAGGAAGAAGTATCTATACCAGTAGTGGCTAAAGTTTTGGGGCTCCTGTGTCAAAAATAGTCGTGCTCGGTGCCAGCACCCAGAAGACAATGCGCGCCCCGCCATGCCCCTGCGCACACACACGCAATTCCCACCAAACCACCTTCGCCATCCCCTTACCTAAACTGCACCTCACAGCTGATTTTTGGCCAGTTTGAGGCCTCTTTCAGCCTCCCAGAGGCTTCAGGAAGGCTTCTGCAAGCTTCTCCAGGCTTTTCAGGCCAAAAACTAGGCCCGTTTCATTACTTCTGGTATTTCCAGAAAAATAGGAAGTGACAAAACAGGCCTAGTTTTGAGCCTGAAAAGCCTGCAGAAGCCATCCTGAAGCCTCTGGGAGGCCGAAAAAGACCTCAAACTGGCTGAAAATCAGCTGTGAGGTGCGTGCATGCACAGTGAGGTAGGCTTGCCTGCAGCTCGCATGCTATCACAAACGGCTCTACATGCCACCTGTGGCACATGGGCCATAGGTTCTCCATTGTGGATCTCTACAGAACTTGTCTGCAATTCTTTAAAGCAGCCGGATCTTTCCCCAGAATTCTGCAGCTGTCCTGAGAAAAGATGCCGCTGCTTTAAATAATTGTAAACAGGGACTAGTCTTATGCAGATCATTATGTACCAGAGCAGAGGTCTCCAAACTTGGCAACTTAAAAGCTTGTATACTTCAACTCCCAGAATTCCCCAGAATTATGGAAGTTGAAGTCCACAAGCCTTAAAGTTGCCAAGTTTGGAGACTCCTGTCCCAGAGCACTTTTTTTTTCTGAAACCCCAATAAGTTGCACAACCTGATCAGGTATTTTGAAACTTGGAAGGTGGTGGTTCAATGGTTTTTGATCTTTTAAACGAATTGGAGTTACTGGTGGTCCTAGACTTACAGCCATTCATTTAGTGACAGTTCAATGGCACTGAAAATGGGACTTACAACTGGCCCTTCTACCTACAATCGTTGCAGCATCCACCCAGTGACATGTTTAAAATTGGTGATTGACATCCCAAAGGGGCTTTTTCCAAGAGGCAACTGCACTTTCTTGTTTTTCTGTGAAGATGTTTCGCTTCTCAGCCGAGAAGCTTCTTCAGCTCCGACTGGATGGTGGGAAAGGATTGAGACTCCTGGCAGACAGCTGGTCATTTGCATCCTTTTAGAGGGACGTTGAGGCGACTTGGAGGTTTATCTGTGTCCTCAGGGTCACCTAAGTAGTGCAAATGGGCGTGGAGCCTTTTTGGAATGGTTGAAAGGACTGTGCAATTCCAAGAAGGCTTCACACCCATTTGCACCACTCAGGTGACCCTGAGGACACAGATCAACCTCCAAGTGGCCTCAACGACTTTTGGAAAAGGATGCAAATGACCAGTTCTGTCCGGAAGGAATATAAATCCTTTCATTCTCCACCATCCAATCAGAGCTGACGAAGCTTCTTGGAGGAGAAGCAAAACGTCTTCACAGAAAACCCAGAAAGTCCAGTTGCCTCTTGAAAAAAAAGGCACCTTTGGGACAACCACCACTTGGATGACTAAGAATCTGCACAGGAATTTGGCAACTGACATGTACTTATGATGGTTGCAACATTCCAGGGTCACCTGATTGCCCCTTGCAACCTTTCCAGCTGGCTTCCAGCAAGCAAAATCAAAGGTGGAAGCCAGATTCACTTAACAACCATGCGACTCATGAAACAACTGCAGCAAAAAACAAGTCATAAAATCAGGCACAAGTCACTTAACAACTGCCTTGCTCAGCGATGGAAACTCTGATCCCAATTGTAGTCATATGCCGAGGACTACCTGAGTGTAATTTATTTCTATACAGCTGTTGATAAAAAGTTATTTAACCAACGCTCGTTTAAATTTCCACTCCTGTTGCAAACAATCTGAGCCACGGAATTCATGCAGAATATTTAACACTGCCCGAATATCCAGAATTCTGGGAATATTTCAGATTGTTTCCCCGTGAGATTGCTGGTGAAAAAAATGAATTCACTTTGTAGCTCCGTCTCAGCCCTAGAAGAGCATACATCTTTCTACACAGCCTTCCCAAATTCTATTTCTTTCTGACAAAATAAACTCTGCCGAGTCTTCTTCTAGCTTTTGTTATTATGTTTCTTTGTTGCACAGTTAGCCAGATGTTTAGTCCGGATTTGGCAATTTTCTGTCCACCTATCAAGTCCTTTCCAGGGACTTGAGTTAGGCAGATGCTGTTATTTCATCATATTAAAGGAGGCAAATTGTCCCAAGTAAAATTTGGTTGTTGTTATTATTATTATTATTATTATTATTTAGGCCCCCATCAAGAGGAGATCTCAGAAACATCCTTCTGTCCACCTACCTCAGGGACTTTGACTTGTCCTTCCAGGAAGTGACAATTGCGAGGTTCGTGGGTGCAAACGTGACGATATTTACACCAATAGCATCGGTAGGGGCTTTCGACACACGAGAGGCACCTGAAAAGATTAGAAGAGAAAAGAAATATCAAAAAAACACACCAGTGGCAGGATTCAATTTTTTTTTTTACAGCCGGTTCTGTGGGCGTGGCTTGGTGGGCGTGGCAGGGGAAGAATACTGTAAAATCCCCATTCCCTCCCCCATCCCACTAACCTGCTTTCCAGCTCCGTTCTCCTATGCAGGGCAACCCAAAAAGACCCAGCCAATCAGCTGGGACTCGGGAGGCGGAGAATAGATGGGGTGGGCGGGCCCAGTCAGAGGTGGGATTGGCCGGTTCTCTGAACTACTCCAAATTTCCGCTACCGGTTCTCCAGAACAGGTCAGAATCGGCTGAATGACCACCTCTGAAGCACCCATGCCATTCTTGAGGTGGGGGGTTTAAATAAATCGAAGCGCTGATCCTAGCCACAGAGGCACCGTCAGAAAAAGAGGACCCAGGAGAGAAGCGTGAACTCACGAGGTGTGGACGCTGCAGTTGTAGAAGACAAAGCTGGTGCTGGCAAAAGTCATGCCGGTTTCTTTGGATTTGAGCTGGAGTTGGACAACGTGGTGGTCTCCTGCGAGGAAGGAAAACAACAGGGTTACCTTGCTATTCATCCGAATACAGAGATGGAGGGAAGTCCGTGCTTCTAGCAACTCTACCTGTGTCCTGGTCCACCTGCACACGGCTGTTCTCCAGGGCAGAGAACTCGGCAACTTTAAGACTATGCCAGCTGAGGAATTAGCACACATATAGACTGGGTGACACCAGGCTCAATGGCAGGAACTGGGAGAGGGATCTTGGAGTCTTAGTGGACAACCAGCTGAATAGGAGCCAGCCGTGTGCAGTGGCAGCCCAAAAAGCCAATGCAATCCTAGGTTGCATTAACAGAGGGATACAATCGAGATCAAGTGAGGCACTAATACCACTCTATAAAGCCTTAGTAAGACCACACCTAGAGTACTGCATCCAGTTTTGGTCACCACACTATAAAAAAAGAGGTTGAGACTCTAGAAAAAGTACAGAGAAGAGCAACCAGGATGATGACACTAAAACATATGATGAACGGTTGCAGGAACTGGGCCTGGCTAGTCTAGGGAAGAGAAGGACCAGGGGAGACAGGAGAGCAGCCTTCCAATATTTGAGGGGCTGCCACAGAGAGGAGGAAGAGGGGTCAAGCTATTCTCCAAGGCACCTGAAAGCAAGATAAGAAATAATGGATGGAAACCGAACAAGGAAAGATTCAACCTGGAAATAAGGAGAAACTTTCTGACAGTGAGAACAATCAGCCAATGGAACAGAAGTTGCCTTTGGAAGTTGTGGAAGTGCCATCACTTGAGACTTTCAAGAGAGACAAGCCTGCCATTTGTCAGAAATGGTGTAGGGTCTCCTGCTTGGGTGGGGGTTGGACTAGATGACCTCCAAGCTCCTTTCCAACTCTGTTAATCTGAATTCTGGGAGTTGAAGTCCACAAGTCTTAAAGTTGCCATGTTTGGAGACGCCTGCCCTAAGGGAAATGTTCTTTCAAAGAATGAGGTAAAATTGCCAATGTAGTTGTGTTTCTCTACCTGGCGGCTTGGACTTGCCACTAATATTTTAAAGAGCTGGCTCTGGATTTGAACTTTTCAACCAGCTTTCAACCGAGATAACCCAGACTTAAATCATTCCGGAGCGTGTTGATGCTAGTCCTAAATTAAACTTGGCGGTACTCATTTGTTTAGTGGCTGTTCCAAGTTACAGCGGCTGTCAGTGTTCCAGCAAACCTCCACTCCAATCAGTAACTCCGAGACAAACGTCTTTCAAAAGTACCTTTATTAGAATAGCACCTGGCACATCAGTGGAATCCCAAATCTAAAAGTTTTTTCAGGATTTCTGCAATTTCCCAAACTACAAATCCATTGTCGTGCTCTTGTTGGAGTCTGATTCTTTGGGGGATATTGATCAGCTGACAGGGACTGTGGCTCCGGTGGCTGTGAAAGAAATGGGGGGAGAACACAGTCCAGCTGGGCATTCAGAGGAAGAAGACCCAGGGCCATCCCCTCTTCATCCTAGGACACGCAGGGAGGAACAGAGAAGGGAGCAACATGTGTTACGGTAGAGGAAAAGGCCCTGATCCCTTTCATTAGTTGCAGCTGGGAGAACAGGATATAAGTGGGGCATTTTAAATAGCTCTTTTCTGGAAGCAAAACATGCTTTATCTTGGTCGAGGCCTATCTGGGTTTTGGCGTCTTCCCAACTGTGGTTGCTGCAATTATCTTGTGGAAGTCTGCAATTTATCATCCTGGCCTGCAGTGTTAATGACTGCAGTGTCGCTTGTGTTGGGTTTTTTTTTTTACTTCTAATTATTTTTAGTTTTGGTTTGGACTGCATTTACTCCCTTCATAAACTGTTTTTGGAAGAGCTTGATGTCAAGTTGAGAATAATTGGACATTGAAGCCCAAGTTGGAGGCATTAAAGGGAATTTATTCTACTTTTGTGACTGTGTTATTTTTGTGTCACGCCCCGGGTCATCACATCCATCTCCCCTTGGTCGTCATCACATCACATGGCCCAATCATGATCCATCCAAAAGTACGATCCTTATTTCATCCTGTGCCGTACTCAATGACCTTGGACTAAGGGAAGAATTTTATTTTGTCTACTTAGAGCTACTTCATTGAAATCACCCCACTTCCACTTTCTCAGGCTATGTGGCAGCGTGGAATATGGTTTCCAAAGCTGACAGGCATCCCCCCTTGAGAAAT